CTTCAGAAAGTTTTAGCCGTTGCTCGTTATTCGTTAAAAAGTTATTAACAAAAAAAGTTTGGAAAATACGTAGGTTAGATGACGCGTTTTACAAGTATTTAACTGTTTAAAGCGCGTCACTAATCTACATAGGTTAGATGACGCGCTTTAACAGTATTTAATTGTTTAAAGCGCGTCAATTAACCCATGCGTAAACTATTTCGGGGCTACCGCACATTTCCCGATAGCAGGGGGGGGTTTGGGTGAACCTCGGTTCGCGTGAAAAGTATATGCGTGAACTATTTCGGGGCTACCGCACCTCCCCCGAAAGCGGGGGAGGTGTGGTTGAACCTCGGTTCGCGTAAAAAATGTATGCGTGAACTATTTTGGAACTACCGCACCTCCCCCGAAAGCAGGGGGGTGTGGGTGAACCTCGGTTCGCGTGAAAAGTGTATGCGTGAACTATTTCGACATATATATTAGTCATTTATGCCTTCCAATACTCAAAATAGCTGCTATATTTTTCAAACTTTTTTTGTTTATAACTTTTTAATAAGCAGCGACCGCCGACTAAGTTATAAGGAAAAGTTACTCAGTATTATGTCCTTGACAACATATGTCAAGATCAAAGTAATCCGAGCTGTGTAAGTTATTGTAAACTTTTACCGTTTTTAGTTTTATTTATTGTAAAAATAATATGTAATGTAAAATTATAGGTGTCCGGGTTTTAGTCGGAACAGTCCGGGGTTTTAAACCTTTCAGTCCTAGGTTAGTAAAATTACAGATGGCAGCCCTAGCCGTGGCCAATAAAAAAGAGAGCGCTTAACTACCACGTTGTCCCTCCTTATCTAGTCATTTATAACTACCTCATTTATAACTACCGCAGTCATTTATAACTACCTCCGGGACAGGAGGCTGCTATATACCGACCATAGCGGCATGGTGAAGGTCAGATCGGTCATGCGGAGTGTTCCACAAGGGTCAGTACTTGGCCCACTTTTGTGGGCCTGAACCTGAGGTATGATTACCTCCTCCGAATTGCCTTCCTCCCGGGATGTTGGTTGTACGGCTTTGCCGACGACACATTCCTAGGAGTCGAAGGCGACACTTGGGATGAGGCCCTGGCGAAGGCAAACGTCGCAGTAAGGGCTGTGGTGACAACGATGCGTGAACTGGGGCTTAGGGTGGCAAAAGACACAGGTTCTTCTGCGACAAGTCTGCGGGGAAGCCACCCGCAGCCCACATAGAGGTGGAAAGCACCCGTATTCTCGTGGGGCCCAACATGAAAATGTTGGGCCTCTGGTTGAATGGCTCCTGGAGCTTCGGCGAGCATTTTGCATTTTGGGAGGGGCGAGCGGTTGTGCTCGCCGATTATATGCCGCGACCGTCCACGCCGTGACGCTATACGGCGCCCCGATTTGGGCGCCGGCAGCGGAGAGTTTCCGCGTGATCCAGGCGAAGCTACGCCAGACCCAACGAATCATAGCCCTCCGAGTGGCACGGGCGTATAGAACGGTGTCATATCCGGCGGCGACGGCTCTGGCGGGACTTCCCTCAATAGTGCTTGCAGCCCGGCAATATGCCCAGGTACATATACGCGTGAGAGCGCTGCAAGCGGGGGGAAACGACATCGACCTGCCCAGAGCACGTCTGACAAAAAACCTCCAGGAGAAGATGGCCCTGGTAGAGAGGTGGAAAAACTACCTCGCGGATGCCACCCTATACGGAAGAAGGACCATCGACACCATCCGGCCCTGTCTGGCAGATTGGCTAGACAGTCGGAAATACGGGTTGTCGTATCACGCAGTGCAGGTGCTTACCGGGCACGGGTTGGTAGGTACCTGCACAAAATAGGGAAGGAAGCCACCGCAGCGTGCCACCACTGCGACGAGGAGGAGGACACAGCGCAGCACACGCTGGAGGTATGCCCGGCGTGGGCAAACCAGCGCCGTGTCTTATAGGGGGAGGTAGGAAACGACCTCTCCCTCCCGGCCATAGTGGCGGCTATGGTCGGGCAGGAGACGAGATGGCGGGAATTCCTGACCTTCTGCGGCAATGTAATGTCGCAGAAGGAGGCGAGCGAGAAGATCAGGAGGAGGAGAAGTACGCCCCCCTCCGATCGACAGGGAGGAAAGAAAGGAGGAGGAGTGGACGCCGAGGCGACCGCCAAGAGTGTCGCCGCCGCCAGAAGAGTGGCGGCGGCGACTGCGGCCTCGCGGCGGTGCTCCGGATGCGGCCCCGCGTGGGGCGCGATAGGAGGGGGAGAAGGGGAAGTGCAGCGCCGTGCCTTACAGGGAGAGGTCGGGAATGACCTCTCTCTCTCGGCCATGGTGGCGGCTGTGGTCGGGAGCAAAATGAAGTGGCGGGCATTCCTGGTTTTCTGCGGCCAGGTAATGTCCGCCAAGGCACGATGTGGGCCCAGTGTCCAGTAGGTGCTGCTAGGGCAGCAATGGACGGGGGTGGCATCATGGTGGGATGGAGCAAGGCTCGAGTAGAGCTGCTCCAGGCCCACCCCTTGCGGTGCTACCGATGCCTCGGCGTAGGTCATGTTAGGGCTAAGTGTACCGCCCCGGTTGATCGTAGTGGTGCTTGCTACCGCTGTGGCCAGGACAATCACCGGGCCAGCTTTTGCACTGCGGAAAATCCGAGATGTCCGCTGTGTGCGGACTCGTGGCTTCCAGCTGGACACAGGCTGGGGGGGTAGGCTGTGCCCACCGTGAACAGAGGGAGGCATGTAAGAGCCGAGGGCCGCCGGCTAACTTGGCAGGGAGCCGGGCGGTGGCTCCTCCTCTCCCAATGTCTGATTAGGCCTTGGCCTGTCCGGACTTAGAGATGGACGACGGGAGGACAGGCCCTAGGGCTTCCTCCCTCGCCCGTCAGGTTAGTAGGACGGCGGCGGTCCGGGGGGGGGGCTTGGGTGGATTCACCAAGGGGTTTCCATCACTTGTGCTCCCCCGGGTCGTCGCGGGAGGCTCGGATCCGGGGCTTTTGCCTTGAATCCGGGCCTCCCGAGTGCGCGGCCTCGGGGAAGGGGGTCGGGCCTTCTCCACGAAAGTCTCGGCCCGTGCACTCCTTTCCCGAGGTTGTGCGGGGGCCGGGGCTCGAGCGCGGACTCTCGAGCCCCGACTCCACCCCCGCACAAAACCTTAGGGGGTGCGGCGAGGATTGTGGTACCTGTCGCCGCGGTAGAAAAATAATCACCCCCGCTCCGTGCGCTATCATTAACGCGCGCGACGGGAGCCCGGGAATTTGGTAGGGAGGTCGGGGTATTTGCCCGCTCTCGCCGGTCCCCGGGGAGTAGGGACCCCTAGTAGGGGTCGGGTGGGAGCCCCCCTGGATGCAATAATAATCAGTTCCCGGGGGGGTTCTGCGAGACGCCCAAGGTAGGCCACACGTAGGGTTTTTAGCCGGTAAGAGTCCGGCATAACCGTCCGCCCTTCCGCGCGGGCGGCGGTACTCATGAGAGTTTTTCCTACGCTAAAAAAAGTTGTTTTAGCATATTAATTAAGATAATAATATTAGCGTCGAAAACTTTTGATCGACGAAAATTGAAAACCGATAGCGCCGAGCGTCGAATCATGTAAATTCACGAAAGCGAAATAAGATTCGAGAACATTCGACCGACAGCAAATAGAAATTTCTGAACGTAAACATAAGCAAACAAAGGCCCGTCGAGGTAAACAGATCGGAATGCGGGCAAAAACAGCCGTCGCAAACACCCGACAGTTGTAAACACGTAAGAATGCGGACTCGGAGTCGAAAACAAGTTCGCGCGCGAGTCGTGGTAGTGGGGGAAGCGCGACGAATCAGCAAGACCGAGCGAAGAGTGGGACTCAAGGGAGTCGCTCGACAAAAGTATGCGCGTACGGACGTATCGAAAAAGACACCTCTGAAAACAATCGGGCACTTAGCCGCGTATAACGCTACCGCCCGCGATACTAAAGCGGGAATACATAATTGTATAACAACTTAGTACGCGAAACGAATATTGTGAAACTATTATTCTGAGATTGGTCATTGAGTCTGTAAGGCCATCCTGAAATTAATGTATAATTGTAAATTAATCAAAGAATAAAAGATCATTAATTTACATAAAGCAAAAGTGTCTCAAGTTAGTGAAGACTTACCTGATCCTTCGATATCGGCAAATCGTTGTCCAGCGGCGATACAATTCCATCGTTGATGATCCATCGTTGTCCAGCGGCGATCCAAGGTCACATTGTTGGTGGTCCATCGTTGTCCAGCAGCGATCCATCAAAGCTAGGAACCTGAAATAGAAAAGATGGTTAATATTAGGATTGAATTCGGTAAATGTTTACAATTAGGGCCCTACCTCCGATGACCTTGACCTTGACATATGTTGTGAAGGTCACCCTCCTGAGTGACCTTCAGAAGGTTTTAGTCGGGGGTCGCTTCTTATTAAAAAGTTATAAACAAAAAAAGTTTCGAAAATATAGCAGTTATTTTAAGTACTGAGAGGCATAAACGACTAATATTACGTTTTTCTTTAAAGCAGAGAATACTTTATTTCGCGAGAAAGTCGCTGCTTTACCAAAACACAACATTTAAAGTAGTAAATTGTTGATAAATTGAAGTCTTTTTGTTAAAGCAAAAAATACTTACATGGGTGAGATGACGCGCTTTAAACAGTTGAATACTTTTAAAGCGCGTCATCTAACCCATGTGGCATCTCGCATATTAACTTTCCACGCATGAAAAATTCACGCATACACTTTCCACGCGAACCGAGGTTTACGCACACTTGAATTCTAATAAGAGACGAAAATCAAACGTTTTCGGTAAATTTATGGTTAAACCAAGTGGCGACCAATAATTAATTTCGTATATTTCAATCTGAGCCGTCACATAGCCGTGTCCGGTTACAACCTATCCTTAAGGCCATCGCACACAAAATTGCATAGGCTGCATAAGCATAGCATAAGACCGCTGGACCAATGAGCATTCAGCATAAAGTCGCCATATTGATTTACAGAACATGACAGAAGCATAGGCAGAACATATGCATAAATAACGAAAATTGCCATGCGTAGCATAAGACCGGCTGGACCAATGAGCATCGAACATAAAGTCGTCATATTGATTTACAGAGCATAACAGAAGCATAGACAGAACATGTGCGTAGTAAACGAGAAATTCCATAAAAACGAAATTTCAACCAATCAAATGCCAGTCATGAGCCTCGATCACCAAGGATGCGTTCGAGAAACACGCTACTAGAGCTGATAGTGCACTTTTCGAACATACCCCAAGATAGCAAACCTATTATTTTGATGTGTATCGAATGTTGTGTTGTTCGTGTGAATATTGTTGTTTATTACCGAGCATATAGCAAATAAAAATATGAAGAAAGATCATGATAATTATTATGCGAAAAGAAGTGAAGATGAAGATGAAAATTGCAATAATAATATACTTTACAATAGAACTTCAAGAGAAGACGATTCTCTGTTGGTGGATGTTGTTAAAGGTTACCCCCATCTGTATGATAAACAATCAAGAGATTTTAAAGATATAAAGAAAAAAAATAATTCATGGGAAGAAATAGGAGAAATCTTAAACGCGACGGGTATAGAATACATTTTTCTTTTATACTAGTATTACATTCATATATGTGACTGTTTTAATATATTTTAATAATTATAATGTATTTCTTATGTATAAATATAGTTGTAATGTGTGTGCATGTGCGAGTAAAATAGATTTTTATTTTATTTATATATATTTCAGCTGCGGATTGTCAGACAAAATGGGCAAGACTACGCGAACGATATTCTCGTGAGAAAAAATTACAAGAAATGGAAACTAGAAGTGGTAGTGGACATGTAACAAGATCACAATCTGCCTTATATGAGCAGATGAGTTTTTTATTTAAACATGTCAAGAGTAGAAAGTTAGTATATTTTACCAGAGATTCTTTTATATCTATATTACATTTGTGAAAAAAAGTTTATAACGGCTAGTCTATAATGAGTCGTTGATCGTTAGTCAGATGTCGGAAGAGAGTCAGAAGAAAGTTATAAAGCGTATCGTAAAGCAATCGGAAGTCTGTAATCGGCGATCGTAAGCGATTGGCCAAATACCATCTCTTACGATTGCCGTTTACAGACTTCCGATTGCCTTACGATACGCTTTATCACTTTCTTCCGATTCTCTTCCGACATCTGACTGACCATAAGATATATTATGTTGGAATAATCTGTTATTTTATTCAGATCTATAACAAATATATCTCATTCGACTACTAAACAATCAAGTCCGATCAGGAAGAGTGTATTAACAGAAAAATCGGGTGACTTTAATTAATAAACAGCTATTAATTTTATTAATTTAGAAAATATTGTGTTATTGTTTTAAATATAATTTAAATTGTAGGTTCCTCAAATAGGTGTGTATCAAGGAATATTGGATCCACTCACAACAAGTATGATACAATCAACAAATCACCTGAAAACATGTTGAAGACTGGATTCACACCAGCAATGGAAGTTTCTCGCAGTTCCTTAATACATTCCTGTTGTTCTGACTTTCTACCCCATTCACATAACATTGATATTCCTGCTTCTCAGAAAAACATATGTAACCAACGTAAAACATGCACTATAAATCCTATATCTGCAGAGGAAACAAGTACAGTTAAACATTTAGAATTGTATTATGAAAATACTGTACATGAATCAATATTAGCACATTTAACATTTTCTTCTTCAGAAACATCATTAGACAGCAACAATGAGTTTTCTGCACTGCGTAGCCCAGATGAATTATATAATGACAAAGAAACAGTCTCTTTAGTAGAATTTTCACAAACATTAAAACAGAAAAAAGTTTTACCTGTCACAAATTTAAAAATAGTATCACCTAATAGAGAAATAGTTTCACCGACCCAATGTAAAAATCGTAACACATTATCTTCATCATTGCTTGTTGACTCTCCTTCAAAGATAGCGAACTCTGCAGCACTGTCTGTACACTCTTCCTTATCAAATATACCGACAAAATTAGCAAAGAAAGTTAAACGCAAATCCACAGCAGATGATAAAATAGATGATTCTTTTGTAAAATTAACTTCAGCGGTAACAACTCATTTCGAAAAAAAGAACCAAAATACAATACCTTCTGAAGTCTTACAATTAGATGAAGAAAACATTTTTGGTAAAACTGTTGCATGCCAATTGAAAAAAATCGCAGAACCTGAAAAAACTAAAATAAAAGGGCAGATAATGAAAATGCTATATAATTTGTAATACAAAAGGTTTTATTATACATTTATAAAATAAAATTACGTTTATAAAACAAGTTGATTATACATTTTTACGACATATCCCTGTTGCGTCTTCTACGAATATAATCAATTTGCCACGGCACTGCACCTTGTGCTGATGACAAATATTCACAGAGAGTATCCCTTTGAAGGTAAGCATGTGTTACTGCTCTACGTACATTAGTAGGTCGCAAATTAGTTGCATTATTTAAACCTATTCTCCATTCACCTTGTATAACATGTCCTATATTATCTTCATTGTCAACATAATTCGGAGGACAGTAAATTTTTTCTACATTAGGTGCACTATTATTTTGCGTCATTAAAAAATTATGCAAATTTACTGCCGCCATAATTATTACATCTACGTGCTCAGGATTCATACATATGCAACGTTGAAAAACTCTCCATCTTGAGACAAGAATACCAAACGTATTTTCAATAACACGTCTGGCTCTAGATAATCGATAATTAAATATAGACTTTGCCTCACTTAGAAAATGCCCAGGATAAGGCCGCATTATTCGTTTGGATAAT